GATTGGCCCAATTTTAATCAGAAAAGTGAGACTGATTATCTCTTGCCTAACTGCTAGTTGGTCAAACTAGTTTTTAAAGACACAGTCTTAACACAGTGTCTATGTTTATGCAACTGGCCCGGATCCCAACATTAGGAAATAGTGGATGAACTTTATTTTTAATGAAGTTCCAGACCACGCCAGTTCACTTTTCACATAATTTTACCACGGATTTGTTTACAAACAAGGTAAAACTCGATGCAGGATTTTCAGAAAGACTGAAAATAAAAGATGATGCTGTGCCGAATATATTGGATCCGACAGTAATGTCGCACCATACAAGTGTGAGTAACACTTTTTATTATGTGGTCACTATTGCTTTGTCTGTTATTACAAATCGTTTGATATGTACTATGTATTTATGCGTTTTTAACCTAAATAACAGCAGCGCCCATCTGTGAAGGATGTAGGCTGTCAAACATACACAACTGTTAGCCAATCATATCAGTGGGCGTTTACTTTCAAGTCTACAATCCGCCACACCTATTCAAACGGAGCGTTTCGATAAGGGGCATCAAAACAGGACAGAAAATAGCCTTTTACTTCTAAATTATGCTTTTTTTTTAATGTAAAAATCTTGATAGCAAATTCACAGAGCACCGCGTATAATATGTGGAAAAACAGATATCAACTCACAAGAATGACTCATTAACCATTTGTTTTATTAATTCGATCCCTCAGTTTAAGAGCCATCATTTTAGTTAAATTGTAAATGGCCTAAAAAAATCGAATAAACAATTAGGCATATTATTATTATTATTATTATTATTATTATTATTTAAAACATAGTTTAATTATTATTTAAACGTTTTAATTAATACATAGGAACGATTTAATAAAAAGTGATCAACAATCAATTCCTTTAATTCATGGACATTATGATTTCATGTCATGAGCAGGGCTCTGTATTTGGGAATAGACGTATCAAAAAAGGACTCATAATTTTCCTATTAACAATAATCATTCTTTTCTCGTAATTTTTTCTTATGGTATAATGGACACCTCTTTAAATATAATAAACATTCAAAGAGTTAATCTAAAATACTGGCTGGTACAGAAAGTAAGCACATTTCAAGCACTGCCATCACTGTGATATTTCACCGTGTCAAAGAGCTGGAACGTTACACATTTATATGATGAATAATTCAAGATTAAATGTTATAATGCTTTATTAGCCTATTATATTATAATATTATCACTGATTTATTTCATTATTTTTATCTTTATTTACAAGTGAAAATGTCACATTTCCAGCTTTACTGAGCAATGATGTCAACCGTCCCTTTGCGCTCCTGGTGGTGATTTCGCGAACGAGTTTCACATGTGACTGGGTTTTAACACCGTAGCCTTGCGGCGGCGGTACACACAGCAGTAATAGGCATTTTGGTTGACTACCTACTGTAAGTGGACCTTAGAGAACAGTACAGAATAATAAAAAAAAGGCAGTTCATGACCCCTTTAAGGTTGCCAACAAAGATCAATCTCCCTCACAACAACACTGTGATAGAAGCCGACTTAAACTCCAGCTTACATTTTTTTTGAGACATCATTAATAAGAAAAAAGCTGAAAGACTCATAAAGCATGTGTTTTCACATCTCACATCTTCAGATTTTCAAATCTCAGCTACTTCATCAGGGAGAACTTTTTTCCCATGCTGTGCAATTTAAGACATGGTTACACTCTACAAATACTCAGAAAACACTGGATGCTGAACACACTGATGTCCTAATAAAGGGCCTTCATTAGTGCCAATTGTGAGAGAAGGGATGCCTCAACCCTTTGGTGGGTTTCTGTAATTTTAGACCGAAAAAAAAAAACGTTTTTAATTTTTGTGTTTCTGTTTTGTCAACAGAATGGTACAAAACTTGGAGACTTTTTTGTACTTGCTATATAAACACACAACAAATATGTGGATACAATTAAAAAAATGATAAATGGTCTTAAAAAAATATAGCTACACTTGAGATCTTCACAATCAAAAATGACTGCCAAAGGAAATGAATGGGACATTTGAAAAATACAAAAATACAGAGCAATTTTTTGAGGGGGTATAATTTAAAGATCAGCCATGATGAAGTAGACTTTGTTAATAAATATATCCAAATGCAATAAATCTAATAAAAATAAGTAATTACCTCTGAAAATACTCTTATAACAAAAGAAAACAGCCATAATAGTGCTGTCAAATTGATAAATCGCGACTGATCGCATCCAAAATAAAAGTTTGTGTTTACATAATATATGTGTATATTTATATGTATATATCAATACACACACATACATGCATATATTTAAGAAATGTATGTTATATATATATATATAAATATATATATATATATATATATATTAGTGCTATCAAACGATTAATCACGACTGATCGCATCCAAAATAAAAGTTTGTTTACATAATATGTGTATATTTATATGTATATATCAATACACACACATACATGCATATATTTAAGAAATTTATGTAATATATATATATATATATATATATATATATATACGGATCTGTTGGGTCAGTGTTTAAGTGTATTTTGCATCAAAAATGGGATGTCTCTCTAAAGCAAAATTCATTCCCACAACTATGCAAACCTCTATTGCCTCTATTTAACTATCAGAAACCTATCACTGCCCCATGACACTGCCCCAGGCACACACAACAAGTATTCTCTGCAAGAGGTCTTCACACTCTCACATACTTCAAAAAGAAGCTGGATTAATGTAGTGACAATTTAATAAAAAAGTGAAGCAGCTGAAAACGGCACAAAACCAGCCAGCCAGTCAACACACACATATTTGCACGCTGCTGACACGCACCTGCTCAAGGTCCTCTAATGTCTGATCCTGAAACCATATGAGAGGAGTAAACAGAGATCTACATGCAGACACGTAACACACATATGTGTGAAAAGGAAAATACAATATTTTATCTAATTTTCTCACCAAAAGTCATGGCCACTTATTTCATTCGACTTACTTAATTTATGACTACTCAGTATGTGGTTGAAATTGAGAAAGCCTGGGTAAATGGGGCGTCTCACTAGTCAACTCGTAAGAACTAACTTTCAGTACGGGGGTTTCTCACCTGCTGACTGTTTTTGATGAAATCTTGTCTCCCTTTTCAGTCAGAGGTCTGTCACATGCACGGATCAAAAACGACAGTGGGTGGCATAATAATCCGTGTATCATTCGATCATTCGTTTTTTGATTTAATATAGTTTTTAAGTCGTAAAATAATCATATGCATCTCGTGGCGTATATTCCAAGCATTCTGAAGGTATACTGAGGGTTTGGTGAGAAACAAACCGAAATGGCAAGCTATTATATTTTATGAAAATCTTGCGTTGCAGTGCGAGTGCGCAGCAGCTCACGCCGCGCACAAGTGCATATCCTTTTGAGATATCAATTATAATCAATTTGAATAAAACACAAGACTACATTATAAAACTCTAACAGTAGGCTATTTAATATCTGTTGTTCTCCGGTTGTCAGTCAGAATGACAGTTCTTGCATGAACATTATAGGCCTATATATACCCAAGCAAATTTATTATTCCTTCCTTTTTGTCTTAGTGTTTAAAATGTTTATTTTGAAACAAATTAATTAATTAATTAATTAATTCAACAAACAAACAGACTTACTAGGTGAGCAGGGTAGGCTATGACAGCTGTCATATCATACCCTGCCATCCAAAAAACGAAGAAAAAAAAAACGAAAAAGGAGCCGTTTTCTAATTTTTCTACTTTCAATATTAAATAAAAAAACGAATGATCGAATGATACACGGATTCATAATAAACAGCTGCCTATAAATTTTGAATTGAATTCTTATCTGAATTAAAAATAAGTGAAGCTTGTGAAAAAAGAAAAACAACAGGAGCACTGCACGAACTAAACTGATTTAAACCTTAAATGTATGAGATGTGTTGTCACAGCCTTAGTAAGAAAAAAAGTTCAGCTAGTGAAGACACTGACAATTGAAATCATATATGAAATAGTTAAAAAAATCTATATTTTAAATATTTTATAATTTAAATATTTTATTTTCATTAGCCATTTTGCCCCAAAATTATATTTCTATATATTCCATTCCATTCCTTTGTCCACTTAAAAGGCTATGGCTACATTTAACCCACAACACTTAATGAACCTTTATAACCTATAAACAATGATTTCCTGCAACTGGTAAACAGAAACTACCAGGTGCAGGTGGGATTTCAACATCATCTACAAACAGGAAAAAATAACAAGAAAAGTTATGACTGCCATCATCTGGCAAAACAAGGAATTACAAGAAAACTGATTCTAATAGCCAATGGTGACTGGTGTGGCAATGCATTTCTCGTCTAGTGCGCAACTAGCTTTAAATGTTTTATGGGTCACAGACATAAACATCTCCAAGGCAACTATAATGTATTTCTATGTGTACAAGCATCTACAGTATGTGTCTCAGGAAAGTTACAGAAAGCTGCAGATGAAAAATGAATATATCCTAATCATGTTTCCAATGCAACAATTTATCTGACATATACACAAAAACAACAGCTAAAATGCTGACAGAACAGCTCCAGTTAACATGCTAAACAGATATACAATCTGAAAGTTACAACATGTTGTTCTGGAAATAATAACAAGGTATTTCACACTAAACATTTGCTGTGTCGCTCAGGAGGCTTTAGGCCTGAGGGCCACTCTAATAATTGATTGATGGTGTTTTCCAACCTGCTCATTCTACCTAGTCAGTAAAGACAAAGTAATTATTCTATAAAGAATGAATCAATTTTCATTCTTTATGATTAATTATCAAAAGCTTATACTGTTAGCAATTGGAAAATAAAAAGTTGTTTTGTAAGAGCCATATATTAATTTACTGTTGGTTCAGCCTCAGGTTGAATTCTCTAAAGAAACACAGGAGAGATTTGTGATGTTTATAGATAAGGGTAATAAAAGAGTCACCTCAAACTTCTGTCGGAGCTCAGTATTCTCATCATCATCATCTGGAATGGGCACATTGTAGTACTCCCCCTCCTCCTGGTTTAACACTTTATACCTGTATCACAGATAAAGATATGGCACAAGTTATGATTGTGTATTTATGGTATTCATCAAAGCACATTTTAAGTCCATATAGGTCTGTTTACTTACCTAGTATTCATTCTGTTTAGAGTCTGTAAAGCAATATTTATTTTTTCTCCAAATAATGTAATTATATATATATATATATATATATATATATTCCATAGCATGTCTTCTTAATTGGCTAAAGTGTTTGTTTTTTTGGCATTGTTGCTCCATTTGTACATCTAAATGTTAAAACATTTTTGGGAAAGTTTATGTGAACAACAACATCAAATTGGTCTCTTTGTCACACAAAGCTAGCTTCAGAAGGCTTATAATATAGTGCACTTCCTTTATGGGGCTTTGATGTTGGTTTTTAACTAATGAGACACACAGTATCTAATAACAGTAGGAAATGACTGCTGAACAAGTGACCAAACCTTTTTCCTTGTCAGTGAGAAAGAGACAAATCCTTACCATCCACACACTGAGGATTTCATGAGCTCAGACACTAGCACTCTCCCCATCATATAATAAGGCAGGGCTTTCAGCTGCTTATTCAGATAAAAACTCAAGACTTTTTTTACAGTAACTATTAACTATATCTTTTTCATTGTAAATATTAACATGAAAACACAAACCAAATAGCCTAAGTATTTATAGACATTAAAATAGTGAGGGTATTACAATAAAGTTCAGGGTTCGCTAAAAAAAATCCTTCAAAAGGGTAACATGATCTCACACCTAAATGGTAAGTCTCAGCTGTATAAATAGTCACATTGTCTGCATGTATGCAGTTTTAGGTCCACTATGAACACACGATGACATACATTGGTTAAACATTTAAAGCATAAAAAAATAGAAGCAAACTTTTCCACAAATATTATTAATTTCTCCTTATTGAATTTTTGCACTAGGTAACTCACCCCCCCCCCCCGAAAATTC